AATTATTTATTTTTAATATTTATGTTAAATGTTTAAGATTCAATTTATCTTAAATTTAATTTCAATATTATGAATATAGAGAAATTATATTTAAAAAAAAAAAAAACTAAATTTAAAAACATATTCGGAAAAAGGTTTTTTATTTATTAATAATTTTATTAAATTTATGGAAAAATATACAAAATTTTTTGAACAAATAAAATAAATATTTATTTTTAATTTTATTAAATGTCTGAAACTTAATTAATCTTAAAATTTATTGGAAATATTTATTAAAAGATCTCAAGAAATAATTAAATTTTAATAAAATATTTAATAAATTTGTGGAAGAATATACATTGTTTCTGGAATAAACTCAAAGTGAAAAATAAATAATTATTTTTTACTCTGGGTTTATTCAAAAAACTATTGTATTTTATAGATAAATTTAATTAAAATTATTAATAAATTGAAGAAAGATTAGAAACCTCTTTTCGAAATAGTTTTTTTTTAAATGTAATATAATTATATTTTATCTGGAAATTAAATAATCAATCAAGAAATAAATGAATTTTAACAAAAAATGTAATTTTTTTAATAAAAACTAATAAAATTTTAACAAAAATGTGATTTTTTTTAAAATTAATTAATTAATTCAAATGTATTTATGGAAGAATATACTTTTTTTAATAAACACAAAATGAAAAATAAATATTTATTTTGGCAATCTTATTAAATGTAATTATGTTTTATGTGGAAAATAATTAATGAAGAATTAATTGAATTTTAACAAAAATATGATTTTTATTAATAAAAATTATTAATCATTTCAATTAAATTTATGGAAGAATATACAATTTTTTTGAATAAACTCAAAGCGAAAATTAAAAATATAAAGAAAAAAATTATAAAGAAATATCAATAATGAAATAATTATTAAAATACTTAATCAATAGTTAATTTAAAATTTTTTATAATTATTAAACTTTATCATAAAAATATCGAAATATTAATTCAAGAAAATTTCTGTGTTTCCAAAAAACTCATAATAAATTTAAAATATTTCATTTTAAAACAAAATAATAAAGAAATTACAACAAAATTTTTATTTAAATATATATTTTTTAAATTATATTTCAAAAATAATTTTATTTTACGTTTTCTTTTTTTCTCAAAGGAGGGGGTCCATCGTTTAGAATCATAGAGATTTCATTTGTTTTCGAAAAGTTTTTTTTTGGGTTTTCCATTTTTTTCTTATAACACTTCGAAAGTCTAAACATAATTTGCCTTAGATAATACGGTGTTTTTTTTTTTCAAAAATTCAAATATGTTCATATATTTTTTATACAGTTTTGCCTTTTTAACATTGTATTTTATCGTTCATTTCTCATCTATCGTATTTGTTTTTTTGTGTTCAATTTTATTGTAATTTTCATTATTTTTGCTTTTGCTTACATGGTTGTATTTTTTGTATTTTTAAGTTTTGATTTTAATTTCAAGAATTTTTTTAAGACAATAAAAATTGAAATTAATGAAATAAATGTTTAAAAATAAAATAAATAATATTTAAAAAATAATAATAATTTCAATTAAGCCGGGGATATAAAAAAGTATTAATATTATTGAAAAGTATTTTGGACATTGTAGACAACTCAGGACCCAATAAGCATCGGCAGTAGCTAAAAATCACTGTTTCACATACATAATATATTGAATCGAATATTTTACATACTTACCCAAAAATATGTATAAACCAACGAGCAAAAAAACTAAAAAACATTTAAAAACAAATATCAAAATGGATCGAAAATTTGTAGTTGTGACCCGACATCTAGACACTGAAATTAGTCTGAATATCTGTAACATTATGCAGTACATGAATGAGATGAAAAAAACTGCAACCAACTTCTGACTGCTGTCATTTCAAGCTCCTCGTCCGACAGCTTTTAAAATTATTCCAGTGATAGCTCATTATATTGTTTACAAGCGTACAAAAGCATTTTGGTGAGAATTTTCCAGAAAAAAAGTTATTCGTGATGGAATTCAAGCGTGAAAGTGCGATTTCTTTATATTTGGCTGGAAAACCGCAAGTGGCTATCGTAAGAGCACTCTAGCATTTAAATGTGAATAAAACTTTTGTGTCTCGTACCATCGCTCGTTACCGTGATACTGAGGTAGCATAGAATGACGTCAAGGAAGTGGACGGAAGAAAACAGCAACATCAGCAGAAATGGTTCGAAAAGTAAAGAAGCGACTTGATCGAAACCCGCGTCGCAGTTGCCAAAAAATGGCTCGTGAGCTGAACATATCGCAATATTCCATTCGGGAAATATTGAAAATAAGTTCGGGGTAAAGCCATTGAAATTCCAAAAAGTGCAAGAACTTACACCGCAACACAAAGAAAACAGACTCAAAAGAGGTAAAGAGTTGCTTACGATCTCGTCACTTGGGTAAAAAAAAATGTTTTTTGTCATAGAAGTTATTTTTTAAATAACTTCTGGGGAGAATATCCCAGACAAGAAACAAGGGAACTGATGAGGATTGGTGGCTCTTTCCGAAACCTAGGTATTCCCTGTTGACCTTGCACATTCCAAAAGGACTCAGCAACATCGCACTCAGCACGCGCCACCAAAGAATGGTCACAAAATGAGGTTCCTCGCTTCATTTCCAGCGCACAATGACAACCAAAATCTCCGGATACCAATCCGTTGGACTATTGTGTCTGAAGTATTTTGGAAAGCAAGGTTGGCACTAAAAAATACCAAAATGTCGATCACCTCAAGCAAGTGCTACGCCGTGAATGGGCCAAAATACCGCAGAGCAACATTCGGGCAGCGTGTGACGGATCCATTGGCTGTTTGAAGGCCATAATTCGTGCCAAAGTGACCAATTCGAACAAATCTAATTTAAAATCTATTCTAAAATTTGGTGCTATTTCCGATAGTTTTTGCTTTCATTCAATAAAATTAAAAAAAAAGGAAAAATTATGGCGTTTGACTTTGTTGCCGGTTTTTTTTATCTCACCCTGTATTCTGGAGTTTTAAGGTCAACAATTTTTTTTTTATTTTCAAATTTTATTAAGAAATAGTAAGAACTACTTTTTTTATAAAAAAAAAAACAAAAATAAGAAAAAGAAATTGTGAAAATCCGTGGAAATACTTGCCCTTGGTTGTCCTTCAAATCCCTAATATTTGCAGTTTCATATGCCAAAAACCGTAAAAATAATGAATATTTTTGCAAAATGGGATTCTACCCATTAAAAACCGAAAACACTAATTTGAAGATCATACCATTAACAATTGAGTTTAGGAACTTTCAAAAAATCAATAATCCTGAAAAGTATATCGGCACGCAGTTCAAAATATATTCGGGGAGCTAACTATCAAAAACATAACTTTTTCACATAAATTGTTCATAAAGTAACCATTTCGGAAGGGGACCATATGGCCCAGTCGTTATATTGAGCCTTTGCATGGAGGTTATTCCAACAAACTGCATCCACATTACATTAAAAAAAATTCGAAGATCGAAAACCCGTCCAATCAGGAATTCAAACGTGTTCCATTTTAAATTACAAATACCAGTAAGACCGTTTGGATAATCCTGTTAAACTTTTCACCATAGAGTGGGTGAGGTCGTTTTATGGAGGCCATAACAAAACAGGAACCTCTATAGACAATTTTATACTTCAAGGATTGTCATCTACCAATTCTTTTTAAATACTAAATTTAAGACAATTTCGTGGGTAAATGTGACTAGGATTATGAAAATACCGAATATTGGGGGATATCGTTATATGTGCGCTTTATGAAAAATTTGACCTAAATATTCAATGTTCTGCCACCACTAGAATCAATTATGAGCAATAATGTGGCAAAAATCATCAAAATACCGATTATCGGGAGATATCGTTATATGAGGGCTATACAAAAATGTGGACCTATAGATACAGTCTTGTGCTACCGGAGCTAGATCCCATTATGACTTACAAATTCAAATAGTTTGACAAATCCGTGGAAAAATGTGACAAAAATCATCAAAATATCTGGAGGGACCGGAAGTACATACAATGTCCCGCCTCCGGAGCTAGAACCCATTATGTCCTATAAATACCATTTTTTAGACAAATCAGTGAAAAAATGTGGCGAATTCATCAAAATACCGAATATCGGGAGGTACGGCTATATTAAAACGTATACTGATATAGCTCATTTTCAATACCAACCATACTAGACACAATACCAAATTGTTTGCCAAATTTTGAAGTTCTACATCAAATAATGTGGGCTGTATCGTGATTTCAACAGACTGGCGGACATTGTTAAATCGACTTAGAATTGTATTCTAATTATGAATATATATACTTTATGGGGTCTACGACGAATATTTAGGGATGTTACAAACGGAATGACAAATTTAATATACCCTCCTTTCTAAGATGGAGGTTACAAAAATTCCTTAGTTAGATTTTGATTTCAAATTTATCAACAATCAATGAAAAGATTTTTATAAAATAGTAATTAAGGCAAAGAATAAGATGTTGCCATTTTTAATTAATCCAAACAGGTCTCTAACCGTTTTAAAATGACAGCATTTTGATCAAAAACTCTCATTGAAAATATAAAACTCAAAACTTGACAAGTGATTTCAAATTTCTGAACAATCAATGAACAGATTTTAATGAAATAGATATTGAGGGAAAGCATAAGATGTTGCCATTTTTTCCTCAACAATCCGTCAAAACATTTTTATGAAATATGAGTTTTAGGAAAGCATAAAATGTGGTCATTTTCAAATAATCCAAAAATGGTCTCTAACCATTCCAAAGTTACAGAATTTTGACCAGGGAGAAATCTATTCCGAACCACTGTGTTGGTAGTGATATTTTCACATAATACACCACCTTTGTTATGATAAATTGTTTTATCCTTAGTACTCCCCTTAAATTGGAAATAGAATTTTGTAATGCACCACCATAAAAATCCCATAATTAAAATAAAAAAAATAAAACAAAACAACAATTATTTCATTTAAAATCAAACTAAAATTCTATTAAAAAATAAAACAAAAAAGTTGTTATTATAAATCATAAAACTACAAATATTAAAAATTACATTTTACTGAGAATTTTTTTTTACTGTAGTGTATTGTAACTCTAAAGAGGTATTACATATATATATATTAAAAAATTGAAACATACAAAAAATTTGGGAGAGAAAAAAAAGATTGGAATACTAAAGTCGATTTTAAAAAGGCATTTAATAATAATTGTAATTTTAAAGTATAAAATCGTATATCCTTGATAAAGAATTAAAATATTGAATTTTTTTAAAGCGAAAAAATTATGTCTCTCGTTAAGGACAAATACTATTATCAGAAGTATGTTATGTAATTTTTAGAAATGCTGTAGAAATTGCAATAATAAAATATCAAACTAAAATTACCTGATATAAAATATATAATAATTATAATAATAGTAATTAATCATAATGTATATAATAATATAACTAACATGATCTATGTGTATACATAAATATATATAGTTCGAAGTGGGATATTTTTCTTTCACATTGTTAATTTTTTTTTGTTGGTTTGGTTGATTTGTTTTTTTTTTTAATCTTTGTGATGTTTTTTGTTTTTTTGAATTTTCTCACAAAACTAAAAAATTTATGGAAAATTGTTTGTCAATTAAAAAATATTAAATTTAACAAATTAAATTATAATAATTAGCATAGAAAATATTATTTATATTTAATTTGAGTTCATGATTTGATTTTTGTATTTTTTTACTTGTTGTTGTTGTTTTATTAATTAAACTAAAATTTTGTTGTGGCTGCTTTGGCTGATGCTGCTGCTGTTGCGGCGTCTGTTGACGTTGTCCTCCATGCGTCGTCGTCATCGTTTCATGCGTCCGTCGTCAAACTTTGTTATTGGGCGCCCGTGTTGTTGCTTCATATGCTCCACGTCCCAAAGCAGCATAAGCATCGGCATACAAATCAGGATTATGCAATGATGGCGGTCGGTTATAATTTACTTGTTGCGGACCGACGACTGCAAAAAAATCGACAGAAAAGGAAAGTTAGAAACAAATTTAAAAATTGTATTTCTTTTGCAGGCATATGCAAGACATTCAGCATGTGATTAGTGTGTGTTAGAAAAAAAAAAAAACAAATAAACCAAGTTAAAAAGTATCAGTCGGGTTTGCCGACAGATGTATACCCTTCAGCCAATGTTCGATCGCTTAAATATATTCTGACTTGCATTATGATTATTCAAACTATTGACCTCCCCCATAAAGGAGGTTTTGAAGGAGTTGGCAAATAGGGTCCGTTTTGTAATTGACCGGATATACATATCGGAATAAATGCATCGACTCCTTTCTCCACTCTATATGACGCATGACATAATTTTTGAAAAAGGTTGAAATGGGCTTTACTGATATGAAATATCAGGATGTGGAAAATTTAAAGAAAATCGAGCATTGATTTCCAATTTTGTGCGAATAATTGGGAATCAAAATGCTAACCCTTTGTGGGGGAGGTACCAAAAGGGGTGTGTCGATAATTTTCATATTCATATTACATTTCTGGCTGAGAGAAATATTTAGATATACCCAATTGTAAGGACTCGCTGACTTGTTTTTCTAGTCATGAGAGACATAACTATTTATTTGTGATCATTTGTGGATGAAGTAGGGTGGAACGATATCTACAATCTTCACACTAGGTCTTGGAGCAGTAAAAATATTAGGATGTGTGAAATTTGAGGACAATCGGATGTTTTTTTCCATTATAGGGTTGTTTTGCTTTTTGCTATTTAAATTTTTGACCCTTGTGGGAGAGGTCCCAGAAGTAGTTAGTCGATATCTTCCATCTTCACAACAGGTCTTGTGTTAGTTAAAATATTGGTATGTGTTAAGTTTAGAATGAATGGGATCCTCATTCTACGTCTTATGAGCTTCATAGTCTTTCAGAATTTTATTTAGGATATGCCGAGTTTGAAAGGAATCGGATACTTAATTTGCATTTTAATAGCTTCATGGTTGTTCAAAAATTTGACCTGTTGTGGGGGAGGTACCAGAACGAGTGAACCGATATATCCCATCTTCACGCCAGATCTTGTGTTGATAGAAATATTGAAATTTGCCGAGTTTGAAAGGAATCGGATGCTCATATTGCATTTTATGAGCTTCATGGTTATTCACAAAATTTGACCAGTTGTGGGGTAGGTACCAGAAGGAGTGGACCCATATATCGCATTTTCACACCAGATCTTGTGTTAATAAAAAAATATTGGGATGTGTGCAATTTGAAGAGAATCGGGTGCTTATTTCGCGTTTTATGAGAGATATAATAATTCCAAATTTGGACCCGTTGTGGGGTAGGTACCAGAAGGAGTGGTCCGATATGACCCACCTTCACCCCTGATTTTGTGTTAAGAAAAATATTGGGAAGCGTGAATTTTGAAGAGAATCGGGCGCTTATTTCGCCTTTAAGAAGCGTTTTAGTTTTTCAAAATTATAACCGTTTTGTGGGAGAGGTACCAGAAGGAGTGGACCGATATATCCCATCTTCGCTATTGATCTGGTGTAGATAAAAATATTGGGATGTGTAAAGTTTGAAGAGAATCGGGTGCTCATTTCGCGTTTTATCAACGTTTTAGTTATTTAAAAATGTATCCACTTTGTGGGAGAGGTACCAGAAGGATTGGTCCGATATAATTCATCCTCACACCAGTTCTTGTGTTCGTAAAAGTGTTTAGATGTGTGAAGTTTGGAGAGAATCGGATGTTTTTTTCACGTTTTATGATAGATATAAATACGCCAAATTTTTAACCCATTGTGGGGGAGGTACCAGAAGGATTGGTCCGATATATTCCATCTTCACACCATAGCTTGTGTTGATAGAAATATTGCGATGTGTGAAATTTAAAGAGAATCGGGTCCTTATTTTGCGTTTTATGCGAGATATAAATATTCCAAAATTTCAACCCGTTGTGAGGGAGGAACCAGAAGGAGTGGTCCGACATAACCCATCTTCACACCATAGCTTGTGTTGATAGGAATATTGGGATGTACCGAGTTTGAAAGGAATCGGATGCTCATTTCGTGATTTATGAGCTTCATGGTTATTCAAAAATTTTGACCCGTTGTGGGACAAGTACCAGAAGGAGTGGATCTATATATCCCATCTTCACACCAGATCTTGTGTCAATAAAAATATTAGACTGTGTGAAATTTGAAGAGAATCTGGTGATTATTTCGCGTTTTATGAGAGTTATAAATATTCCAAATTATTAACAAGTTGTGGGGGAGATACCGGAAGGAGTGAACCGATATATCCCATTTTCACACAAGATCTTGTGTTGATAGAAATATTGAGACGTTCCGAGTTTGAGAGGAATTGGATGTTTATTTCGCGTTTTATGAGAGTTATAATTATTCAAAATTTTGGCCCTTTTGTAGGGGAGGTAACAGAACGAGTGGCCCGATATATTTCATCTTTTTACCAGATCTTGTGTTAATAAAAATATTGGGATGTGTGCAATTTGAAGAGAATCGGATACTCATTTAGCGATTTATGGAAATGTCGTCCCTTTGTGGGGGAGGTATCAAAAGGAGTGGACCAATGCATCTGTTCTTTACGACTGATCTTGTGTTTATAGAAATATTGAGATGTGCAAAATTTGAAGGAAATCGGACCCTTATATAGCATTGTGTAAGAGTTATAATTATTCAAAACTTTGACTCTTTGTGGGGTAGGTACCAGAAGGAGTGGATCAGAATTTTCAATTTTCCCTCCCTATCTAGCACTGATGCATATTTTAGAATTTTCAACGTTTGGACTAAATCGGATGATCCGTTCTCTTTCTATGAAGTATAAGATTTTCTTTACAAATTGTGATATTTGTGGGGGAGGTACCAGAATGAGAGGACCAAAAATTTCCATCTTCGAACTCGATTTAATTTTGACAATAATATTCCGATGTACGATGTTTGGACTTAATCCGATACTCCCTTTCTGAGCACCAGCCAGATAGACACACAGGCTAACGGACGGATAGACCCCCTATATCGACTCCAAATATCCTGAATCGGATTAGATCCAAAGAGACATCAAATCCGATGAGGCTCATTTTGGCCGTAACAAATGATATATATCTCCTACAGTCACATGGCTGAGGGTTAAAAAAATATTATGCAAATTATCCCCGAAGTGGATAAAAATATGTCCCAAACCACTACCAGTAATCCTGTGGAAAAACCGAGAAAGAATCGACGATTATAGCTCTGATCCCAAGAAAAATAATCTTTAAAAAAGTCCACACCAATGGGTTTGGTACCCTTCAGGGAAAATATCCTTAAAAAGTCCACGATATTCCATGAGAAAATATTACTGGTAGAGTTTGAAACTATAACTCATGAATCCCAAGAGGCTAATTGGGAATCATTTTCTACGACTCTTGGGATTCGTGTATTCAGGTTTTGGGGAGTTATATTTTTCATGTAAATATATTTTAGTAAATTGTTAGTAAATGAAAGAAAAAAATAAATAACTATAAATCTTAAATAATAATAAAAAAAATCATGCACAGACAATAACAACAACAAATTATAACAACTACAAAAAGAAACGAAACAAAACGAGCAAAAAATTAAACAAAAACAAACTAAAATAACTCAAAACTAAATTTAAAAACCAAAATTCGGGTTGAAACTTAAATCGAAAAAAAAGAAAATATTTTGTAATTATTACCAATTGTGAGTGAGATCGTTATGATCACGTTAAATAATATTATTTTTTGGCGGCATATAAATGTACGTAAATATCTTTAGGCATAAAAAAAGGTCAACTCGATGAGCTTTTTGTTTTGTCTTTTCTTCACATAAATAGTGTAGCAGTCATATATGTGATGTGAAATGTTTTTTCAATTGGATTTTGGTTTGTAATGTTTGTGTGTGAGTGTTCGTTTCTTTTTTTCGAGGCGGGTTTTCCCACAAACCAATTATCAGTCATTTAGGAATTTGCCCCATATCAATAGACAATACGACGACTTTTACTCGAGGGCTTTTGACTGTTGGCTTGATCTTTGGATTTGTGTTCTTTGTGGGCGCCATGTTTTGTTTTTGACGCCGCCGACGACGACGCCGTCGCCGCCGCTGTTGTTGAAGAGGACGAGGTGTTTGTGCGTGATGATCGGGATTTATTTCGGATGTCAACTACAAATAAGGAAGGTGGGGGAAGTGTTTTGTTTAAGTTTTCGGTTTTTTTGTTGTTATTAAATGAGGAAAAAAATAATTCTCTATTTTAACTGAAAGAAATTGTAATTAAACAAATTAAGGAAATTAAATCCAAAATAGAAATTCAACTAATTAAATATGTGTTTGATAAACGACTACTTTTTAAAATTGGGTAGAGAGAGAGAGAGAGAGATATGAAAAGTTCCATTCGACTATTTCGGGCCCGTTTAAATGGTCCTCGATAAGCTTCGACCTCATAGAAGACCAGAAGAAAGTATTGTTATTATAACAGAAATTATAATCAGATGAATGATTCGAATCCAGTTACCAAACATTGTTATCAAAAATAAAAAAAATCTTATTAACTTTATTTTGGCTTAAGGTCAATTGAAAAACATCAGTGTTTTATTTTTATAATTTTGATTTTTATTTTCCGATATTTCGACTGTTTTCGACAGTCATCTTCAGGGAAAAAAATTTTTATTGAGAAAAGCAACAGTCTTGTTTCACCGTCTATGGTGAAACAAGACAGTCATCTTCTTCAGGGAAAAAAATTTTTATTGAGAAAAGCAACAGTCTTGTTTCACCGTCTATGGTGAAACAAGACTGTTGCTTTTCTCAATAAAAATTTTTTCCCTGAAGATGACTGTCGAAGACAGTCGAAATATCGGAAAATAAAAATCAAAATTATAAAAATAAAACACTGATGTTTTTCAATTGACCTTAAGCCAAAATAAAGTTAATAAGAATCAATATACAGGTCAACAATAAAAAACAACAACTAAAATAAAAAAATAAATAAAAAAATAAATTTAAATTAAAATATTGATGCTATCTTCCTAAAAAAAAAAAAATCCGCTTATATAGTCCTGAAAAAACTCTGTTTACAGTCCTCCAGATTTTTCTTTAAAATCGTTGTTTAAAGTCTACCAACAAGTCTACCGAAATTCTTTAAAATCTACGTTTATAGTCCTCTAAAAGTTAGCGCTTATACTACTACAAAATACCTTAAAAAATCTCCATATATTGCTTCAAAATCGTCTTTACAAGTCTCCGCAAATTCCACAAAAAATCTCCGTTCACCCTCCTTCAAAATTCTTTTATTCTTAAATTCTTTAAAAAATTGCCTCTACAAAACTCAGTTAATTCCTGACAAAGCTCAGTTTACAGTCTTCCAGATCTTTCTTTAAAATCGTCGTTTAAAGTCTGCCAACAATTCCTAAAAAATCCACGTTTACAGACTTTCAATAAAAATTCACGTTCCTAAAAAATTAGTGTTTATAATGCTCCGAACTTCCTTAAAATCCACGTTTATATTCCTCTAAAAATTAGCGTTTATACTCCTACAAAATACCTTAAAAAATCCGCATATATTGTCCTCCAAAAATGCTTTAAAATCCACGTGTACGGATATTTTACAAATTTCAGAAAAAATCGTCAATTATCCGAAAATACCACAAAAAAATCTTCGTTCACCGTTCTTAAGATCCTCGTTAGTTAGTACACTCAAGATTCCCAATAAATTAACGTCTTCAGATCAAGAATAAGGTATCATGAAATCATCATATATATAGAGGTATGAAAAGTATATTATAATCAAATAATCATCCTCCAAATAATCTTAAAATTCGTGTATTACTGCTCCAGAAATACCTAAAGATTCCCATATTTTGTTCTCAAAAAATGAAAAAAATCTTTTAAAAATTCCTTAAAAAATTCACATTTACAAAGCTCCAAAAAATCTTAACAATCTCCGTCACAGTCCTTCATACAATTCTTTAAAAATCCTAGTTTAGAGTCCTCCAATAATTCGTATAAATCCATGTTTACAGATCTTCAATAAGCTCGGATTTGCTTTTATAATTTCACATTGTTTATAGCTCTCCGAAATTACTTAAAATCAACGTTTATAATCCTCTAAAAATCAGTATTTATACACCTCCAATATATAACTCCTGCATATATAATCCTACCCGGATCTTTTACGAATTTTCTAAAAATATTGCCTTTACAAATCTCCGAAAATTCTTCAAAAAGCTACGTTCTCCTCGTTTAGAGTCCTCTTACGATTTCCGAAATACTTAGATCCTTCCTTAAAATCCACGTTTATAGTCCTCTAAAAATTCCTTAAAAATCCTAATAAATTCACGTTTACAGATCTTTAATAGAAAATCTCGTTTTTTTCTTCCGAAAATTCCTTAAAAATTAGTGTTTATAACCCTCCGGATTTTTTTTAAATTAACGTTTAATCTTCTTCAAAAATACCTTAAAAATCCGAATGTATAGTCCTCAAAAAATGATAAAAGTTCCGTTTATGTATCCCTTAAAAATTAACCTTAAAAGCTTTCGAAAAATTTCTCAAAAATCTCCGCTCACAGTCTTCTAAAAATTCCTTAAAAATTCTCAATTGGAATTATCTACAATTCCTAATAAATCCACGTTTACAGATCTTTAACAACAAACCACGTTTATTGTCTTCCATTTTTTTTTGTTTTTATAACCCTCCGAAATGCTTTAAAATTCACGATTATAGTCCTCCAAAAATTCCAACTGTGCCACGTACATAGATCTCTAAAAAATCCTCAAAAAATTAGATTCCTTTGAAATTGTTTAGAACACCTCTAAAATTTAAAACATAATCCAAATAACGGCTAAAATCTTTCAAAATTGCCTCAAAATCCCTTATTTATAGCCCTACAAATAGTTCTCGTTCATAGCTCCGGAGATCTCTCGACTCTAGTCTTCCGAAATTGCTTTAAAAATAAGATAAGAAAATCCCAAAAAATCTTTAAAACATCCGCGTTCACAGATTTGCATTAAAAATTACGTTTAATTCCAAAAATCCGTAATTATAGAACTTCAAACATCCTTCAAACCCCCCATCAAAAAATTCCTAAAAAATTCCCGTCTATGGTTTTCTAAAAATTCGTAAAATTAGATTTGGACTTCCTGCACTTTATATGAGATATGTGCTAATTTTTGGAAATTGTAAAAATATGGGTGAGGTAACCGAAGTATTCCATTTTTATACTCCATCTAATACAGATAAAAATGTTGGTGGCAAAATTTGAAGGAAATCGAACATTTATATCCAATTTTATGCAAAATCACCAAATTCGATAAACTACATATTCATATCAGATTTCTGGTTAAAATAAATATTTAGATATAGCAAGATGTAAAGAATCGCCTACTTGTTTCGCTAGTTATGACAGATAATAGTATTGAAAATTGTGACACTTCGGGGTGTGGTACCGGAAGGGGTTGGCAGACACCTAGCAAAAATAATTGTTTGTGTGAAATTTGAAGAGAGTTGGATGCTTATTTCGCGTTTTTGTTTTTCAAAATTGTGAACCCTTTGTGGGGGAGGTACCAGATGGAGTGGACTTCGACTCAGAAGGCATAGTCCGATCTCTACCATCTTTATAACAGATCTTGATTTGATGGAAATATTGAGATGTACCAAGTCTGAATAAACTCGGATGTTAATTTCCCGTTTTTGAGCTTCGTGGATATTCAAAATTTTGACCCTTTGTGGAAGAGGTACCAGATGGAGGTGACCGATATATTCCATCTTCACACCAGACAATGGGTTAATAAAAATATTGTTATGTGTGTAATTTGAATACATCACATTTTATAAGAGTTATAATTATTCAAAATTTTGTCCCACTGTGGGGAAGGTACTTGATGGAGTGGACCGATATTGTCCATTTTCGCATCTGCCCCAGCACTTATGCAATTATTAGGACTCGCAAAGTTGGAGCAAAACGAAGGATCATCCTTTCTCTTTATGTGCAGTAAATTATTTTCTTTGAAAACGTTGACATTTTGTGTGGGAGGGACCAGAAGAAGTGAACCAATATTGCCTTTCGGATGGACGGATATCGCTAGATCGACTCCACTTGTCCTGCTGTTGGTCCAAAGAGACCTAGGGTCTAAAACTGTTATTTCGATGAGGTACATTTTGGCCGTATCAAATTATATATACCCTCTCTAGGCATATGGGTGAGGGTATAAAAGGGACCAAATATACTCCTTTGGTGACTCGTTTGAGGTTTACAATGTTTCACCAAAATAATCCTCGTATTGTTATCTGCAATATTGCCGAAGAGACCATATATTTGGAATGTACGATGTTAATTTTAATAATGCCTATTCATATGCCTTCTATTATTTGCTCTTCTTTCATAATCCGGTGGATTTTTTCTATAATTATTGAATTTTGTCGCAGAGTTTTATTGATGCCATATATAGTAAAATCTTAGGGCATAGCATTAATTAAATCTTATAGCTGCACCTAAATTTTAAATTTTAAAAGAGTCTCTAAGGACGAATACCGGAGCTTTTTTAGAACATTTTTGAAAGCCTCTCCATACGTGGATTTTGTTTCACGAGCTGTGTGGCTGAATAAATATAGTCTCTATAGAAAAATTTTCGTAGAATTTCTAACCGGAGAATATATAAACGATGGAGTGAGTAGAAAGCCTTACATAGGACCAAAAAGTTATTGTTCAGGACTACAATAATATCAAATACAACGTTCTGTGTTCCTCTAGCTTGGTACTTATATTCCTGACGAATTTTCATCGATTTTGAACATTTTCATAAATCTCTCTTTCTCCATAAAAATGTCTCTCCTATTAGGACCTATAAATATTTCGAAAAAAGAAATTTGTTTTAGCACACCTTTCGGCGCATAATAAGCTTGTTGTGGCAGTTGTTGTTGTTGTGATTGTTGTTGTTGCGTTTGTGCATTGGACGGCAGGGCGGGTAAAGGCATTTGGGCACGTGATAAAACACCTGCACCACTAGTTGATGAACCCGGCCCAGCAATAGATGCACCACCACCACCACCACCCATATGTAAACCACTAGCACCACCAACACCACTTGTGGGTGATGGACCCAAACCACCAGGTGGCGGTATATCTGCATACCCATGTTGTCCACCGGAACGCGAATTACTTGGTTGCCGAGAACCATTTGAACGGGAGCTACGGCCACCGCCGCCACCACCTCCCGATGGTCTGCCCGTTGCAGCAGCAACACGACTCGCATGACTGCTGCTAGAGGCTGGCATAGGACCGGCAGCACCGCTGCTAACAGCACCAGAGCGATGGTGGCGATCCCATTCGGGAGGATAGTTGCGATGGGCACCACGGCCATCGTGTACGGGCGGTGGTATGCTGCGTGGCCCCGCACTACGGCCATGGGGATGACGCTGAAAAGAGGGTAAGAAATGTTAGTTATGGGAGAGGGACTTTGGAAATATGTTTTTCGCGCTTACCATGCGCCTCAATGTATTCATGGGAGCCCGTAACGTTTCTGAGATTCGACGAGCCCTCCGCTTCTTAGGATTCGAACTGGGCGTATGCACGGCACAGCATTTGATAAATATACCCATAACAATAATAAATGCAATGCCCAGCAGCACCACAATATACCAATTCTCGGTAATCCATTGGGCCACCGTCAGCAGCGTTTCCTTGTTGAGTAGGAGATTCTTGAGGCGCAGCAGTGGACCATCGGCATCTACGGCGCGACATTTGAGGAACACATCACAGTAACCTTGGAAGTTATCACACGGTGAACCGGGACGCAAGCTAATGCCACCCTCGGGTAAACCAAATAAATGAGCAAATTCAGATGTACTACGGCATGTGGTGGTGTCGTTGCCATTCTGACACGCCAATTCGCAGAGTTTTCTCTTGTCCACATGCGGCTGTTGTTGTGAGGTCAAGAAGCATTCGGACATGTTCCACAGCAGGCATATGGAGCCGGAACATTCACCCCGAATGCAAAGAGCAGTGCCATTGTTGCACTTGGTCTTATCATCTCGAGGCTTGGGTTCGGGACATTCGGCTGTGGTGCCATTACAACTACTCGACCAGGAACATTCGGTTTCCTCTTTGCATTTCTGATGATAGTTCGATGGAACAAATGTACATGAATTGGGCAGACAACAGGGACCCTGTGATGGAGAACATTGGGTTTTGGCTCGGCGCGTACAACCACGTGCCGAGCTATTCAGTGACAGGTCATATTCACTAATTAGCCTAGGATAACAACATTTATCTTTGCATTCATCTTCGTTGAAGCCGCAATCACATTCCTCGCCTTGTTCGACGATTTTATTGCCACAGAAGGCACCTTCGGACACCTTGAAGCAGTCACGTTTCATGTTGCCCACGAGAACATCGAGGACATTGGAGATATTGCGTATGGAACATGAGGAGAATTTGGAATTGTTGGGACGATCACCGGAAGTGGCACTGGCAAACATGATGTAATTGCCGTTCATGCCGCCCGGACGACATTCCTGCGGGTAGTCGTGCTGTGGAGAAAAAAAAAAGGGGGGGATTATTAAAACCTCGTTGAGAGGGGATATTTTTTGAGACTTACCGGTGATCCAAAGTTATGGCCAATTTCATGGGCCAATGTCAGCTGTGAGACCTTGGGCGGCACCCGACTGTTGTAGTTGACAAAGGTTATAATGCCGGTGTTGAGAGAGCGCTTGGTACTTTGATATTGCCCACCCACAGTTTCGGTGTAGGTTTTATATTTCTCACAAATACCACCCGAGGCTCCTGAGGCACTGGCCACCCAGGCCAGACCCAAGGTACCACCTGTAAAATCACGATATGTGAACACATAGGCCAAACAGAAGTCGGAATGGTCCTCTAGCGAATGGAGATTCAAGAAATTCGATACATCCATGTGTTCATTGCAAAAGGCATTGTGTGGGCCATTGTAGGATGAGCGGCATGCTGAGTCATCATCAATTTTGATGCGTTGTACCTGTTGGTAGAAAAACAGCGATGATGAAAAAGGAAACGGAAATTATGATTAATGCAAACGATGATAAAACAAACACATCACTCCAACACACAGACACATATATCCAAGTGTAAACGGAAATTGCAGTTTAAGCCATAAATCGCAAGGATTGTTCCATGGCTGGTTTTTTGTCTGCTGTGTAACACACTTAAAGGGAAGGAAGGAAGGAGGAGGTTCGGTGGCAGTTTTTGCAAAATTGTATTGTGGTCTGATGATGAATTAATTAAAAATTCGTGTAAGCACTTTCCGAAAGCATGACAGAAAAAACACACACACATACACCCATACACCGGACAATCTGTGGATTTATGATTGTCAACCATTTTCCATATTATGACCACCATCGCTACCATCATCATCATCATTGGCATCGTCATTGGCATCATCCGGGCGGGTTGTGACCACCACAATTCTCTTGTTAACATTGTGTACACTCACACACACACACGCACGTGTCGTATATGTGTCAAAGTTCTGTGTTTGGGTTCAGCGTTTCGGTTATGGTCTTCACATCACATTAATGATGTGGATGAGGAGAACAACGCTGCCATACCCATGGCCAGCCAATATTTGCCAACCCAGAAGTCCATGTTGTGTTCGCTGAGACAAGGGGTTGGGTGTGTGTGCAAAAATCGCCAAGGCATTGGCTTAAGGCTGTACATAATTAAGTAAATCTTACCTCAAAGCGTATATTACGATGCTCGGTACGTCCATCGAATTTGGTGTTGCGATAAATATAATTAACCGCCGTAACATGATGAGCTATCAACGAAGTGATTTCCTCGCGTGTTTTTATATCTCTTTCGTATTTGTGAGTGCGATCGTGCTGTAAGGGAATTAAAAAATGGGAATGAAATTATTTAAAATTGAATTGAAAATATATTTTTAATATTTAATTTAAAAAATATTTAATATAAAAAAATATTTGTTCAACAGTTCCTTAAATATTCTAAATTTTTCCAATTTTTTATTAAAAAAAGTAATTTTTAATAAAAATTGGGAAAAATTTAGAATATTTAAGGAACTGTTGAAGCCTACTTTGGGACGAATATATTAGGAATTTTTAATAATTTTTTTAAATGTAAAAAATCTAAAAACTTTGCTGTGATAAAGATCTGCCAATAGAACTTGAGTCGAACCTGAAGAGTTTCTAGTGCATAATTCGCATATGCTAATTTGCAATAAGTTCGAAATATATACTACTTTCCAGAGAACGGCCCTTGTAAGCCATCATCCACACCAAATATGCCTGATGAGCCGCTTAACCAACGGCGAAACGCGTCGCATAGTGGTGAGTGTGTGATAGTGTCTATCTGGCTTTCCTTTTCACTGCAAATTTCAGATCATTAAGCTCGTCTCAAAAGAGAAATCAAACATATAAATTTTAAATCTATTCTGACGAAAGCTATGAGATTTTTTATACCCTCAGCCATATGGCTAGAGAGGGTATATATCATTTGATACGGTCAAAACGTGCCTAGTCGAAATAACGGTTTTAGACCCTAGGTCTCTTTGGACCAAATCCGTTTCAGAACATTTGGAGTCGATCTACCGATGTCCGTCCGTCCGTCCGTCCGTCTGTCTGTCTGTCTGGCTGGCTGGTGCGCACGATAACTTTCGGAGGGAGTATCCGATTTGATCCAAACTTGGTACATCGCAATATTTTTGTTAAACTTAGATCGAGTTCGGAAATGGGCAATATCGGTCCACTCCTTCTGGTACCTCCCACACAAAATGTCAAAATTTTCAAAGAAAATAATTTATTGCACAGAAAGAGAAAGGATAATCCGATTTTGCTGGAACTTTGCGAATCCTAATACTTTCATCAGTGCTAGGTCATGTGCGAAAATGGACAATATCGGTCCATTCCATCAGGGACCTCCCCCACAAAGGGTCAAAATTTTGGATAATTAAAAGTCTTATAAAATGTGATGTGAGAGTCCGATAGTCTTCAAATTTCACACATCCCAATAATTTTATTAGTCCAAGGTCTGGTGCGAAAATGGAATGTATCGGCCCACTCCTTCTGGTACCTCCCACACAAAATGTCAAAATTTTCAAAGAAAATAATGTATTGCACAGAAAGAGAAAGGATAATCCGATTTTGCTGGAACTTTGCGAATCCTAATATTTTCATCAGTGCTAGGTCATGTGCGAAAATGGACAATATCGGTCCACTTCATCAGGGACCTCTCCCACAAAGGGTCAAAATTTTGGATAATTAAAACTCTTATAAAATGTGATGTGAGAGTTCGATAGTCTTCAAATTTCACACATCCCAATAATTTTATTAGTCCAAGGTCTGGTGCGAAAATGGAATATATCGGCACACTCCTTCTGGTACCTCCCCCACAAAGTGTCGAAATTTTGAATACCCATGAAGCTAATAAAACGCCAAATTAACATCCGATTCCATTTAGACTTGGCACATCTCAACATTTCTATCAACACAAGATCTGTTATAAAGGTGGTATAGATCGAACCATTTCTTCTCCCCCATAGGGTTCAAGATTTTGAAAAACGAACGCCCAAATAAAGCGAAATAAACATGCAACTCTCCTCAAATTTCACACATGCAAATATTTTTGCTAACACAAGATCGGTTGTGAAGTTGATATATATCTGCCAACCCCTTCTGGGGTCACAATTTTCAATTATTTTATCTGTCATATCTTTCGAACAATTTATCAATTCTTTTCTACTTGCTATGCTCAAATATTTCTCTAACTAAGAAACCTGATATGAATATGAAATTTATCGGAATTTATGATTTCGCATAAAATTGGACATAAATATCCTTTCTTTTATTGTTGCCAACTATTTCGCTCAATATTTTTTATTTGTATCAGATGAAGAATAAAAGTGAAATATTTCGGTAGACTCTATCTCGTACATCACGCACATTTTAACATTTTCTAAAAAATATGACAGATCTCATATAAAGTGAAGGAGTTAGTCGATATAATCCATACCAGGAACGTCGAAATATTTATATCATATTTTGGGGTCCGATACGAAATAGACAATACTGGCCCATTCCTTCGGAACCTGCTCCATAGAGGGTAAAACGTTTGAATAATTGTAACGTAAGTCAAATTATATTTAAATAATCGAACACAGGCTGAGGGTATATATCTGTCGGCAATACCGACCGATACTTTTTAACTTGTTTTAATGAAATTTTGAGGGTTTCCCAAGGCAAAAAAATCTTTGATAAAAAATTATGATGAAGATTTTTCTAAGAAATTTGGAAAACCTGTTTTTTTTTTTAAATATTGAAGGCTTCCATAGCTGAAAGAATATCGGACGGGGAAGAAATTGGGAAAAAGATTCAGATTTTTTAAGGACGAGTTGAAGCCTACCTTGGAACGAAAATATTAAGTGTTTTTCTGAAAGGCAACTATAGGTCAAAATTGGAGATTTTTTTAAAGAAATGTTAAGAGTTTCCAAACATTTTTTATAGTTTTTTTTTTTTTGTGAAAAATTCAGGACTTTGTTGAAGCCTACCTCGGGACGCAAATATTAGGTTTTTTTTTGAAGAATTCTTGAAGTCAAATATAGCTCAAACTTCCAAATCTTTTAAAAAGAAGAAGAAATTGGGAAAAATTCAGATTTTTTAAGAACGAGTTGAAGCCTACCTTGGAACGAAAATAATTCAAAATTCGAGATTTTTCAAAGAAATGTTAATAGTTTCCAAACGTTTTTTATAATTTTTTTTTGTGGAAAAATTTTGTTTTGTGAAACTTTCAGGACATTGTTGAAGCCTACCTCGGGACGCAAATATTAGGTTTTTTTTTGAAGAATTCTTGAAGTCAACCATAGGTTAAAATTCCAGATTTTTTAAAGAAATTTTAAGGGTTCCCAAAAGTTTTTACCCTTTGTTTTAAAAAACATTGAGAATTTCTAATTAAAAAAGGGTTTCAATTACACCCTACATAGTGGCCGGAGTATTATGTCTTTGTGTGTTTGTTTATAATATGGAGAAGGAAGCGAGACAGACCCATAGTTACTAGATCCATAATATATGCATGACAGTCCGTCTGTCCATGTATTTTTATGAAAAAAAAAAAAAACAATGCAGAACGCATTTATTATCCGATTGAGATGAAATTTTCTCAACAATATTTGTTTGGTCCAAGGACGAACCCTCTTAATATTGGTGAGAATCGCTTCAAATTTAGATATAGCACCCATATTCACACATTTTTAACTGACCTCTTTGGTAAGTAAACACGATTATTTTGTTTGTTTAAAAACTGCTGGACAACGAATGTTTTCTCATCGGAGAAAACCAAATTCGGCGGTTCGCCACTTTAGCTCTTTTGAGACTATTTTCTTCCTGTTGCGGTGTAAGTTCTTGCACTTTTTGGAACTTCAATGGCTTAACTCCGAGCTCATTTTTCAATATTTGCTGAATGGATTATTGTGATATGTTCAGCTCACGAGCCAAATATAAAGAAATCACACTATCACGCTTGAATTCCATCAGGAATAACTTTTTTTCTGGAAAATTCTCAGCAAAATGCTTTTGCACACTTGTAAACATTATAATGAGCTGTCACTGGAATAATTTTAACAGCTGTCGGACGAGTGGCTTAGAAAAGACAGCAGTCTGAAGTAGGTTGCATTTTTTTCATCTCACCCTGTAAAGTGACGTGTGTAATTTGAAGAGACCCGGATGCTTATTTCGGATTTTATTACCATTTTGGTTATTCAAAACTTTGACACTTTGAGGGGAAGGTACCAGAAGGAATGGTCCGACCTCTACCATCTTTATAACATCTTTGTGTTGATGGAAATAATGAGATGTGCTAAGTTTGAATGGAATCGGATGTTAATTTCGTGTTTTTTGAGCTTCATGAATAGTCAACATTTTGACCCTTTGTGGAGGAGGTACTTGATGGAGTGGACCGATATTGTCCATTTTCGCACCTGATGCAAATATTGGAATCTGCAAAGTTGGTGCAAAAATCGTATTTTTTCTCTTCCTGAGCAAAAAATATATATTTTTTTGAAAATTTCGGTCTTTTTGTGGGAACTTACCACAAGGATCCATGCCCAATTTCGAACACGATCTAAGTTTGGCGATGTACCAACTTTGGATCGGATACTCCCTTCGAGAGTTATCATGCGCACCAGTCAGCCAGCCAGACTGACGCACGGTCATCGCTAGATCGACTCCATTATCCTGAAACGGATTTGGCCCAAAGAGGCCTACCGTCTAAAACCGTTATTTTGATGAGGCTCTTTTTGGCCGTATCAAATGATATATACCCTCTCTAGCTGAGGATATAAAATGATTTTTAAAAATCCATCATCACGCCATTTATGACCCTTAAAAATTCCTAAAATTCCAGAAAAAGGATTCTTTAAAAATTCACCATGACGGCCTTTTATGACCCCCTATTTCTTAATTCTTAAAATTTCTGAAAATGTGTTCCTTAAAAATTCCCAATTTTTGCCTTGTATGATCATCAAAAATATTTTTAAAAATTCTTAAAATACCAACAAAATATACCTTAAAAATCCACGATTATGGCAATTCATGAAACTCAAAAATATTCTTTAAAAATTCTCAAAATTTCTAAAAAAAAGTATTATTTAAAAATCAGCGATTATTGCCTTTCATGACCCTTAAAAATTTTTTTTTTATAAATTCTTAAAAAGTTTTCTTCAAAGATTCTCAAAATTCCTAAAAGAAAGAATTATTTAAAAATTCACATTCAAGGCCTTGTGTGAAAGTCAAAAATATTTTTTAAAAATTCTTCAAATTCCTAAAATCCACGATTATGGCCTCTCATTACAAAAATATTTTTTAAAAAATTA